AATCAAAGACCCCACCGTGGTAACCCTTCTTCTCTAACTTTCCAAGCCCTAAGTCTAAAACTGCCTAAAATCGATGGCCAAATCTTCCCTACCTAGAGATATTTTGGAAAAGAAAAAAGGGAAAAGACCCATGGAAGACAGCCCACTACTTGAAATTCAAAAGAAGAGAAAGAAGGATGAGTCAGCTTCAATGACTGAGAAAACTGGGAAGAAATAGAAAAAGAAAGAATAGAAATTAGAGAAAAAGAAGGGAAAAGGGCAATTCACCGAAAAAGGTAATCCTCCATCCTCAAAATTTAGAAATAAAACTCATGAGGATAGATTTAGGAAAATAGAGAATGCCCCCATCTCTTGTGGGAAATATATTGATTGGGATAGCTTTAATACAGTTCCAAAAATTAAAGAGGGTTTATCAGATTACTTTGAAGAAATAAAATTGAAGAAATTGAGTGTTTTTAAGAACATAACCTATAGTGCCAGCCTTGTGAAAGATTTTTATGCTAGTATTGCACTAGATGAAAATGAACTTAATGACCCTAAGGATTTTGTTGATAATGGTTTGAATGTGTTCCTAAATGGAAAGGGGTTTGTGGTTACTGCCACTAATTGAGGAAATCTACTCAAAATTGAGTGTAATGAGGGAGAATATGAAATCCTTAAGGATTATGATCCCTCATCTTTGTGAGAAATAATCACAAGAAAAAAGGAAAGATACTAATCTAAAAACTTTACAAGTTTTATCAAAAGTCCACAAACTAAGATCTTGCATTACTTTATAGCTTCAACAATTTATGGAAGAGGTGGCAGCTTCAGCTACATAAGTCTTTAAGATATGTAGTTTATGGAGCATGCTTTTAATGCTACTCCCCTCAATTTAGGAAGATTCAAGATAGAGACAATGAAAGGAACATGTTAAGTTGACAAGCTGAATCTGCCTTATGGAAACATAATCACCTCTCTAGTAAAGAAAAAGGGGATCTAGACTACTAGATATGAAATGGATCAGGTTAAGAGTAGGGATCAGGCTATCTATCTAGGAAGTTTGCCAAAAATAGGGTACAAACTGGAAGGAGAAAATTTTATTAAGACCCTTAAAGATACTTTAAGAGAAAAGCATCTTGCCTCTGCTTAGACTAAGGCAACTTCTTCTCAGATTTCAAATGAAATGATTCTGACTTTATTGATAAGAATGGATGGGAAGCTTACTGATCACTCTACAAGAATCCAAAAAATTGAAGAAAATTTTCAAGAATTGAGAAATTTGATGAAAGAAAAAAGAAAAGCATCATCTGGCCCTACAATTGAAAGTACATCAGCAGCACCAAGTTTAACACCAGTAGGAAAAACTGCTGAAAATCTTGCATTTCAAGCTGAAGGTGATGAACCAGAATCTAGTTCAGTAAGGAAACTACCTACCCTTGAACCTGAAATTGAGGAAAAAGATAGTGCTAACATAGAATTGATAAGATCTTTCAATGACAACTCTCCACAGCATGATGAAGCACAAACAGATAAACCATCTCCAACAAACTTTAAGGAATTTCTAATTATAGATGTCTTTCACTAGATGGTAAAGGAAGATCTAGCTGAAAAAGAAGTAGTAAAGAGTAGAGCTTAGAAGCAAACACTTGCAAGAGCTTCCCCTGAATCAAGTCACATCATAGAAAAAAGTGGACCTACTGATAAAGAAAAAGGAAAAACAGCTACATCTACACATGATAAACCCAAACCTACTAAAAGAGGTAGAAAGACTATGGCAACAAAAACCAAGTTCCTCAAGAGAAGAATGTCTTCTAGACTGGCTAAGAAAGATAAACTTTTAGTCAAATCCTCCATTCTAGAACCTCTTTAAGTTTTAAACAGATCTTCTTTTGATTCCCAATCACAAAAATCCTCACCCGTGTCATCTCTTGAACCCCTCAATGTCCATTATGGAACAGATGAATCAATCCCCTCAAATGTTTCTTAGATCTGTTCCTTTTTGCTGATGACAAAAAAGCGAAGATAGGTTAGGGTAGAAGTAATTTTAGGAGAGAAAGTAAAAGTAATTTAAAAGTAACTTAGGAATCTAACTTTGATGATGTTGGATTGTTTATGAAAATATATTATTTTAATTACTGATGGATTGTTGATGATATCTGAATGCTAAGAACTTATTTCTGTTATGCTTTTGTGTTTAATGACAACATATTATTTTAGTTGCTTATGGATTGTTGATGATATATGAATGCTAAAAACTTGTTTCTGTTATGTTTTTGTGTTTAATGGATTGTTAATGACTGTTGATTTTGGAATGGATGTGGTTTGTTAACAATAATGCTGATGATAGTCATTTGCAATACTGATAATATTTTGGCATCCATTACTGACTGTTCTATAAACTTGTATGAAGACATTTTGTTAAAATGTCTGAATTTATGTCTGTTTTTTTAAAGATAAAGAAAAGCTTATTGATTTTAATAATAAAATAACTTAAAAATATCATGCATACATTAAGGGGGAGTACACACTCAAGGGGAGAAATTACTAATCTTATGCAATACAAAAAAACTAAAAGATACTATGTTGTTAATCAAGGAATGTTTTGTCATCATCAAAAATTGAGCGATTGTTGACTTCATTAGTTTTTGATGATAATAAAACATTTCCACTTATTTATATCTAACTTTACTACTTGAGTGTATAGGACAATAATGTATGTCATTAATAAATTAAGTACTCAGAAGCAAATATCAAAACTTATAAGAATAAGGAGCTATAGTTGAGCCACAAAATATAACCCTCTTAGTCAGATAACTAAAGGAGTTAGTCAACTAAACTTCAAAAATGCAGTTGGTCAGTCCAGGAACAGAAAGGACTTAGTCGACCAAGAAGCATGGTTAGTCGACTAAGCGCTCACTACAAGAATCTGGGAGTTGCAAACTGAAAAGACTTAATTGACTAAGTAGTATGTTAGTCAACTAAGAGCACACTGTTTAAAAATTTAAATTTCAATGCTGGAAGATAGATCAACGGTTAGAACTATCTTCCAACTGTTTCCAACAGTCAGCAACTATCAAACATCCATCAAAGTTGGTTTTTTAAGTATATGAGGCACTCCCAATGGCTAAGAAACAGAAGAGATGCTTCCAAGATCAAAAAGAGCTCAAAAATAGGAAAAACTCTTTCCATACTTCCTATACTTCACTTCAATCCTTGTAATAAAGTTAAACACTTCATCTTGTACCATTCAGATCAGGATAGTGATCATAGGTACTTCTTTATTTCTATTCTCCTTGATTACTTAGAATGTGCGAGTCACTTTAAGGGGATGATCAAGCTTGGGTTAGCTTGATTGAGTGTATAAGTTCTAACTCAGCCTAAGAAAAGTTAGTTTTGGGTTCTGGTTGATGTTGGGGAAAACTATTGCTAAAGGTTGTGGCTGTGCCTGTAAAAAGCCATTGTAAAAGCTTGGTGAAAGCTTGGGAATTTCACCGTTTATAGTGATTTGATTTGCAAAATCCTTGGTTGAAAGATTAAGGTAGTGGATGTAGGTTTTTAACTGAACCACTATAAATATTTGTATATTGTTTGCCCTGTTTTATTTTTCATTGCATTCTTTGTTAAATCATTGATCTTTAACTTGCCCCTAATAATAAAATCAATCTATGTGAAAGTCAAAAAGTGTTATTCACCCCCATCTAGCACATTTATTTGGGGCCAACATAAGCAAGCATCAAATCTTGAGTTAGAGGCACTATAACCTCATCTTAGAAAGAGGCTACTTTTACATCTCAAGCTTTTCCATGCAAACTCAAACCTCAACCAAAGTCAAGCTATTGACTATAAAGAAGCGCTTTTTGGGAGGCAACTCAAACTTTCGAAACTCTTTAACTTTTAGTTATTTTTAGTTTATTTATTTATATTTATTTTTTCAATAAAAAAAATTTCTCCTACAAGTGACAGTGAGGATGATGAGGACGAAGGTGAGGGCTAGCGTTTCACTATATTCATCCAATCATCAGGGGAGTATTCTTTACAATTTCTTTTGTTTTTCTAACATTGAGGATAATGTTTAGTTTAAGTTTGGAGGGGTGAATTTATTTTTCTAGTAGTGAATATTTTGTGAAAGTTTTAGATTTAATTTTATTTGCATGATTATCCAGATTTATAAATATTTTAGGATTAGTTGGCAAATGAATTTATTTCTTGTTTGAATTTTAGGAATCTAGAGTAAAGTTGTGTCAATTTTTTAAATGATTTCTTTATCTAATGATGATAACTGATTGTCTTGATTTCTTAACTTTTGGTGAATAAAGTTTTTGTTTGAATTCATGCTAAAATCTGTTGTTAAGTATTATTGTTAGAATGTGATTTCCACAATTTTGAGCACTATATCTTTTACTTTGAATTATTATGAATATCTAGAGAAGGTTTATATCGATGTGAATTTTAGATTATGTCATGAATTTTAGAATTTACTTGATTTTCTTTCGATGTGAAATCCTAGGCAATACTTAGTTAGGAAAATGATTTAGGCCATCTTTGGACTTTTTGAACCTAAAAAGCCAACCTTGTTAAATCTTTATCCCCACTATACTCTTTTGAGCGTAATTTCCATTTTCTTTACTTAACTACATAACAAATGAGCTTAGCCTTAAAATTAAATTTCCAATTTTGCAACCCTCACTGCTAAGCATGTATAATGTTTTAAGAAATTTAAATTAAGCTAAATGTTGAAAAAGGTGAAAAGGTGATGTTGCTGTGAGAGAAAAAAAATTTCAATATATGAAAAGTAACCCTGTTACCTATAATACAAAGAAAATAAGTTTGGGCGTGTGAAATTGTGAAATTGTGAAAAAAACTGTGTTGAAAAAAAAAAGTTCAAATGTGGAAGAAAAGGTGTATTAGGAGATGGAAAATAGACCTCTATATATAAGTCCTAAAATAATTATGTGCTTAGGGTGATTTGAGCAAAATTAATATCCTTTACCATACCTTGACCCTAGCCATACATTACATGTTTATTAAAGTCCTATCGATCCCTAGCTTGATGTTATTATACATTAGTGGAGAGAGAGATGAAAAGTAAACCTATGGAATCTAGCACTAATTTGAAATTTGTATTGGGATAAACTCATCTGGATGTCATGATATTCTTAATAAAAGACTTCACACATACGCAAGGAAATCCATTCGAGAATGTGCTTACATTAGAATTGAAACATGAATTTAAATGATGCCTATATTTTTCCTTAGGTTAATGATTTATAGACATACTTTTGAAGAAATTATGAGGAATCATTGAGTTGGTGCACTTTATCTTTACTAGTAGTAGTACTAGTAATAGTTGTTAGTTTTCATTAATTGAATTTGATTTTTGTAAGTTAGTTTCTTTTCTATGTTTTGCTTAAGGATAAGCAAGATATTAAGTTTAGAGGTGTGATAACTCTATGATATAGAGATTTTGATAGTAAATTTAACTTAGTTCTTATAGTAATGCATAGAAATTAGTAGATTTTATTTAATTATTTTAAATTAGTTAATTTAGGTGAGTGAATCTAATCTTGGTTAATTTTATGCTTAATTTGGTGTTAATGTAGTTAAGATAGGTTGTTACTGATTTATTTATGCTTTTGTAGGTGTTTGATAAAAACAATTTTAATACAAAAAAAAGAACGAAACACCAGATTGATAGTGGAGAATCAACCCACAAAGTCATTGAAGCTGAGAAGATTTTGAAGGATTCAAGAAGATTTGGAAGATCAAGATTATAATTCTTGAGTTTTATCTTTTCGATTATTCTTTTGTTTTCTTAGTTTGTTTTTATTGTTTAAACTTAATTTGATGATGATGTGTGACTTGATGGGGAACTAAGTTTTTAATCTAAGATTATGAATTAACTCAATATGTAGTTTGATTTATTTATTTCTCTTTTGCTTATGTTTGATGGATTTAAGTTGTTTATTTTATTCTATTCTTAATGCTTCTAATTGCCTGATCAGCAATTAAATTGAATTGGAAACTTAGGTTAAACCTTGACGAAAGAAATTTAGGTCGACTTTGAATAGAATAGCGTATGATCGAATGTTCTTGTTGATTAGGTGGTTTGATTTGCATATAGGGTAGACATACACTTATAAGCCATACGTAGCCAAGATTAGACCACAAACTTAATGAATCTTTGTTCAATTTAATTTACATAGACATATAGTAAATTAATTAGGAGAGGTATTTTTATGAGAAACTCGACAGAGACTTGTAAATAATTTAGGACTCTAGGTTAGCAACTTAATGTATTAAACTGAGTTAAGAGAGAGAGACAATAATCAGATGAAATATTGAGGGATATCATAATATTAGGTTTTGTAGTTAAGTGAGTTATTTACTATTTAATTTTAGTTTTAGTTTGTTAGTTTTAATTTTTCTTTTTTATTTTAATTGTTTGAATAAAATTAGGGTGTTATAACTTTAGTAGTTAATGATAGGAATTAAATAATTCTCTATGGGAACGATACTCTACTTTATTATTTTATTATTTGTTAACGATACGTGCCCTTGCGTGAGAAATCAACAACAAAGGCGAAGTTGTTAAAAAGTTAAAAAACGTCTAGTATTCACCCCACTATCTAACATAGAATGAAATAAGTTTTAGGGTGTGAAGTTTTTATGAAAAGAAAAGAAAAGAAAATAAAAATTATAAAGTGTTGTACAAAAGAAAAATCTGTCATTAAAATAAAGGTTTTACTTGGAAGTATGATTAGAGCTCTATATAAGTCCTAGAATGATTATGTGCTTAGGGTGATTTTAGCTTTAAAATATTTTTTATCTTACCTTGACCTTATCCTTACATTACAAGCTTGATAAAGAGCTAATGATCCTTGACTTAGTATTAGTCTACATTAGTGGAAAGTAAACCTATGGAATTCTATTACTAATTTGAATTTTCATGGGCATAAATTTATCTAGATTGCATGATTATTCTTTGTAAAAGATTGCACACACACATGAAAATTTATTTAAGAATGAGATTGCATTTGAATTGAAACATGGACTTGAATGATATCTATGTTTTGCCTTGAGTTGAGCTTTTAAGATAACATTTGAGGAAATTAAGGGAAATCATTGGCGTGGTGCAACTCATCTTTAGTTATTTGTTTTCATCATTGCCTTGTTTCCTTTTTGTTTAAATTTTCCTTTATGTTTTTGCTCACGGAGTAGCAAAATCTTAAGTTTAAGGGTTTGATAACTCTATTACATAGAGTTATTTTGCTACATTTTGAGTGCTAAATGCTTGAGATTTTTGTTTAGAGTTAGGTGTTTTAATTATTTTTCTTAATTTAATTTAAATCATGTTGAGTTATTTTAATTTAAGTTATTTCAGTTTAAATTTATATTAAATTGCTTTTAGTTTATTTATTATTGATTTAGTATATTGCTTTAGAAGGTTTTCAAATGAAAAGACCTCCATTGGTGATGAGCCGTAAAAGTATGGCTAGTGTGTCTCTCGTACATGTAGTATTTCAAGCATAACTCTCATTCCAAAAGTCTTATTGATGTGATTCTTGATCCATTGGAATGTTAAAAAATTGGCTACAACTTTCATCCTACATTACCCATTTCATATCATATCAGGGTGAAAATTGCATTGCAATAGGATGGATTGTAGTAAAAATTGCACAAGGCCACACAAATGAGCCAAGGCTGCGGCACAGTGATTCAGAAGAACAACATACATTGACCAAAAAAGCTAGCACTGCATCCACGATGGAAGTGTGCCATGGTGCCATGAAGAAATAAGAGCACCATACTTCCATTTGAGGCTAGGGCATCACGATGCCCAAGGGACAAAGTCGCAGTGCCAACTCGATAACTCAGACAACAACATTTTTGAACATTATTTTATATAGGGTTTTAAGGGATATTTAAAGAGGGTTGTTTATAGTAATTTGAGAGGACATTCAGAGATGGTTTTTTGAAGAAAAAAGAGCTGCCAAATAAGTAAGAGAACGAGGAAAATCAAAGAAGATTCAAGATTTTAGATTTGACAATGTTAGTCCTAAAGAGCGCGCTAGAGGGGGGTGAATAGCACTTTTAGAATGACACAAAAATTCTTTCTAAGTAAAAGCTGATTAAGCGAATTTGAAAATGGAAGTTTAAAGCATATTGGAGGAATGATTTAAGTGCTAAAAGTAAGAAGAAAATAAAAAATGTAGATAAAACACAATGATTTATAGTGGTTCGATCATCTAGACCTGTATCGATTACTTTGACCTCCCAATCAAGGATTTTCTGCAACAACGTCTTCTCTAAATTGTTAACGATGTTCGATACTTGAGAGTGAACCCGTCAAATCCCAAACAAGCCTTAGTTAAGCTTTCAAACAATTTAGACTCAACATACAATTTTAATGCTATAGTTCACTTAAACTAAATGAACACAATATTTAAAATGTAGCATCTAAATACCAATAACCTGGTTTAATAAGTCCACAACATATTCAACATAATAAGTGGTAATCATTACAAAACCTCGAGGTTTAGCAAATACATTTTCATAAACTATTTATCATTATAAGTCTGACTATTTGACACAACATGACCTTTAGGCAACGGAGCAACTCGGAGTGGAAGTCTAAGAGATGCCATTACCTACGTTGCAGCTAGTCTTGATCTGCTGAGCGGTGCACTTGTACCGATTACTTAACTACAAAAAAGAAATAAGGGGGTAAGTCTCACAGACTCAGTGATCATCAACTCTGTGAGTAGGGCGTAGATGGGAAACATGTTAAAGATAGAAATTTGAATATTAAAAATATGAGAATATATGTTAACAAATTAACCCAAAAAGGGAGGTTTGTGCCTTATATGTAAAACTAGTAAGTTAATGCAAGATAGTCGTTCAAATCAAATATGAAACCAATTCATGTAAAGATTTATGTCATCCAACTGGCTTAAAGCAATTTAATATCGCCATGCATGCTCCTGTAAAATCCATCATTAACAAAGTTTGTATGCAAATTCATAAATCACCTCGTACATGAGGAGTTAAATCCAATGTAATCGTATAAGTAAGGGAGCTCCGGGAAAACCGTTAATTCTCACCATGCGAAAAACTACATGTATAAAAACTCAAAGAGATATCACTCTCAAGTAGGAATAGAAATAAAGAACATGTGGACCCACTTCCACGTAATAACATTCGAGAGCTCCACTCCACCGGATCCCCACATGCCATGGCAGTCTCAACGATGTTGGCCTACATTGAGAAATCATGCAGTCGCAACCGCGTATAAAACTTGTGGCCTAGCCACATACAATCATAGACCATGGCCCCGCCATGTTTAACAGCTAGTTGGTGACCCAAAGATTCTCTAGCTAGAGCTCACTTGTGCACAAAGGTCACACTTAACTGAAGTGACAACAAGCCTACTCTCGAGTTAAAACCATTTAAAAGCCAAATCGGATTTTCAAAGGATCATTTCAAAACATTTTCAAAATACCGATCATAGTAACATGATAAAACCTCGTTTTTGTAAGACTTTACATTATAAACCTTTTGCATGAGGTTTAGATGTCAAATCAGCATGGTGAGTCTGAAAGTCATTCACGAATGCACATCATAAAATCAATAAGGCACAGTTTGATAGAAATTATAGTAAAAAGCTTGTTTCACAGTTTTAAAATCCTTTACGTATATAACTTGTATATATATATATGATCAAAGCAAATTTCAAATACTATGACATCCATAAATTCCTAGAATATCTACTAGCTCATGCTTTCCACAAATTTTGCATTTAAAATAAATCAACACGTATTTGTATATATATTTAAGGAGATTTTAAAATAGACAATCCCTACTTACCTCACAATAGCAGGATGCTTTGTCGCTATTGATTTGAGCGCGTATCTAGCTAATTTTTATTTGCCAATCACTCGTTACCTCTTTCGGCATGCCACCGTAGCAACTTTACTTACTTATTTTCTCCTTAGCAACCATTCAAACCCAATACGTGTAATTATACACACAAATTGCAGCATATCAACCAATAGTCCTTAACCAAATGGCATAGGTTTTATCACATTACTCACAAATATTTATCACACAATCCATACACTTTAACCAACCAAAGCTTATGCAACACAATATAGTCACTTTGCATGCTTACCTCTCGGTTTAAGCTTGAATTTTCAAATATGATTCACAACTTCCTCACATCTAAGGTCACCTTTGCTGCCACAAACATAGTCAATCAATATACATCTCATTTTTCATTTCTACTTAAAATTTCAAGACTAAAGCACTTACCCATTGCTTATTTAGCTCCAAAATCACCATGCATTCTAAGATCTACCTACATGCATGCCTCAGGTCCCTTGAATCCTTGTAGATTCTTGCTACTACAAAAAAAATCACACATTACATATGATTTACAAAGCATGCATTTCAAGAAAAATGAAAATCTCTTTACCTTACTTGTCTCGAGTTCACTAAACCGATCTATCCTTTCCTTTTTCTTCTTCCTCCTTTCTTCCTTTCTTTCTCCCTTTCTCTTCTCACTTTGTTATGGGTGAACTCATCAAGGAAAAAGCCTTGAAAATGCCTTTGGTTTCCCCATTTTGTTCTCACATGGGCGGATTGCCCAAGGTTACTAGCTTTTTACCTTATTTTCCTTCATTTTTCTCTTTACTTTTTCTCATGGGCGGATTGCCCAAAGCTTCATGCCTTTTTGGCATGTTTCGTTTTCTTTATGTGGTAAAAGTACAAGGCAAAAAGCCCTGGCAACCTTTCCACTCGTCACATTCATTTTATTACCTTTTCATTTTTATTTCTTGATTTATTTATTCTATTTTTTTTCTTTTCATTCCTTTATTTGTTCCTTATTCTCATTGGACCAACTCACTTCCCATTCACATTTCATGCACAAATTATCTCTTTTGCTCATTGGTCCAAAGTCTATCCTAATTGCCTTCCATCTACCACCTCATTTTCTTACTTTTACTTTTATTTCCTTTGCCACTTATTTCTTCCA